TTGTTGTTATTTCAAATGTCCTTGGTCATTAAGTGTTTATGGAATGGAGGAGGTAAATGAGCATGGGCGGTTCTGATGGAATGTGAGGTACAGCCACAACAGCAGGTGACAGGGAGCAAACAGCAGGGTCAAACAGTGAGGGGGGGATGTAAATCCCGAGGAGGAGCCACCGTGCCCGGCACCTCTTGGCTGTGTGTTATCCACCAAACACACCTGGTGCTGGAGATGCTTTGCGGGGATGAAGAGCAGTGAAACGTGATGAGTTTGGATTTATTTTTTCCCCCTTTGAATCCAACGGCACAGCACAGGGCTGAGCTGGGGCTGGGCACAGCAAATCTGCCCATCCTGGCCATGCCACGGGCTCTGCCCCATTCCCATGGGCAGTGAGGGCCATCGCTGCCCTGCCTGCGCTGGTGGAGCCACAGGAATTATGGCCTGTCATAAAATCTTCCCTCCTGAGGCTCAGTGACCTGCTGGGCAGCGGCTCCATGGCCACTGGTGGCACTAGCAAATTGGGGTTTTATTTTATTAGTTCTAAATTTCCCAGCCATTAATTTCAGTGACTTCTGGCTCTCTCGATGAAGAGGTTTTTTTTGAAGCTCTTTTCCCATGACAGTCTCAGCATCTGGGCACACTTATACCACGGCCTGGCAGCTCCTGCCCCTGACTTGTCCTGTCCCGAGAGACCCACACTTGGAGCAAGGCAGGATTGGGGCTCATGGCTGCACATGGCCACTGGGCAGGCCTGAGGTGCTGTTTGGGGTGGCCCTGGCTGTGACCTGTGGCACCAGCTCTCTCTCAGCAGCCCGTGGCGTGCAGGGCAGCTGAATGCAGCAGCCTGTGTGTGCTCACGTGTGTTTGTACGTGCACGTGTGGGCAGGTGTCTTCATGTTCCAGCACTGGATGCCACCACAGTGAGGGGACATTGAGGGGTCCTGGTCTCCTGTGCTGGTTGGGGTGGATTTTCCCCCTCTCCAGCCACATTTCCAAACACCATAAAATCCTCAGCTAACAAATGCAGCGGCGAGTAGAAAAACGGCCTTTGCCATCCAGTGTGATTATAGGAAACAGAGCCAGGGGCCTCGGGGTGGGTTATAAATCTGATTTATTGACCCAGCCCAGAGCAGCCACGGCTCTGGCTAGTGAGTAAGTCTTAAATTTCATTGGGTGATAAATACTGAGAGCGAATCAATTTGGTAGAAAAGCTAATTAGCCAGCGTGGTTCCGCATCGATCTCTGAGCCCCGCGCGGCCGGGTGCGAGCCAGGGCTTCCATCATCCTGCGGGCCCAGGCTGGGGCTGGGTCCCCCCGCACCAACTGCACCAGCCTTTACCATGTCCTCGCCAGCTGGGCCGTGGCGCGGGGTGGTGGCACACGGCCGGGGGTGGCACTGACCCGGGTGTCTGGGGGGCAAGGGGAGTCCTGGAGCCCCCTGACCGCCCGTCTGCCCCGATGCAGGTGGTGAAGGTGGTCGGCAGCAACATCTCCCACAAGCTGCGGCTGTCGCGAGTGAAGCTGGAGGACGAGGGCACGTACGAGTGCCGGGTGATCGACTCCAGCGACGGCAAGGCACGGCACCACAAGGTGAAGGCGTACCTGCGGGTGGAGGCAGCGGGGGGCCCGGGGCACCCCCAGGACACCGAGCTGCGGGAGGCGCCGCTGGCAGAGCTCGCCGCGCCGGGCTCGGCCCACGCACACCACCACCACCACCAGCACAAAGCCGGGAAGGAGCTGAAGAAGCGCTCGGCAGACTCCTCCTGTGTGCTGTAGGTGGGCGCTGCGGGGGGACGCCGGAGCCCCCCTCCGCCCCGGACTCAGCGGAGCCACCGAGGGTCCCGCAGCCCCTGCCAGAGACTGGCCCCGCCACCCCGTCCCGTCCAGCACCCCTCGCCACCTCCCTGTCCCACAGGCGCCGCGGGTTTCTCCCGGGCCCAGCGGTGCCGGGCTCGGCGTGGTGCGGGAGCCGGACCTGTCAGCGCATCCGTGGCTGCACCGCTGGGGCTGTGCCCGGGGCCGGGGCGTGTGTGTCCCCATCCCCCGGCCTTGTGCGGGTGGGCGCCCGCTGCCGCCGCGGTGCCGCGGGCCGTGCTGTGTCCCAGCTCTCTGCCCAGTGGGACCCTCCTGCCCACGGGACCCTCCCTGCCCTCCCCCGTGCTTCGCAGACCCAGCCGCCTGTCCCTGTAGGTTGCCCCGTTTAGTTGCTCGGTTCCAGCCCCACAGTGCGTATCTAAGTTCCAGCCTCCATCCTACAGCCCGTGTGTATCCCCCCAACCCCACCCTGCCCTGCCTGCCCGCAGCCCCCAGCAGCACGTCAAGGCCTGAGCTCAGCAGAGGAAGGACGGCACGGCACATTCCCGCATCGCTCAGCCAGGCAGCTGCCCGTGCTCCGTGTATGCCCGGGAAGGTGTGCCCGGGAAGGTGTGCCCGGGAAGGTGTGCCATGGCGCTGCCCCCTTCACCCATCACTCCTCCTCCCCCGCGCATCTCACAGCGCACGGGGCGCTCACCCGCCAGCCCCGTCCAGCGCGGCCCCATCCCGCTGCCCGTGCTGCCGTGGCTCTCGGCCCCCTCTCGGTCAAGCATCCCTCCCCACCAGGCCACAGCACCACATTGCCCCGGGCAGGGTATGGCCCGCGGGCTGCCGCAGTGCAAACAGCAGAGCCCGTCCCTGCTGTCCCCACGGGTGACCACGGCCACTGGGGACGGAGCTGTGGGGAGAGGGGGGTCCCGAGCCTCCCCGCCCGGGTGCCGGGTGCTGCTCCCCTGCTGCCCCCCAGCCTGCCACCATCAGACCTGCTGCAGCTAATAAAGCTCTTTAAACGAAGCCTCCGTGCTCTCTGTCTGTGGCACGGCAAGGAGACAGGGCTTTGGCACTGCCTCGGGTAAAAAGGGGCAGAACTGGGGCTGCTGGACTGTGGGGATGGGCATGAGGGTGGGCACCGACATCATCACCTGCAGCTGAGGGCTCAGAGCTTTAAAAGCTGAAGGTGGGGAGCTCCTGCCCAGCCTGGGAGCTGCTGCCCCAAGGGATGCAGGACACAGCAAGGTCCCAGGTGAGCTGGGGATGCTCCATGCTGTGGCTGTGGAGTGCTGGGTGCTGTGGGGTGGCTGGGTGGGATGCCAGGTGAAATCCTGACACACACCTGGGCAGTCAGACCAGATTTCCAGTCCGGTGGGAGGTGGGGTACCCAAAGCAGGGTGCTGGCTGCCCCTGGGGCCTGGCTCTGCCTCTCCAGTGGGAAAACAGCTCTGAGCACTGGCAATGCCCAGCCTAGCCCAGCTGCCTGGAATCCTGCAGCTCCTTTGAAGCTTGGTACTCCTTGGACCTCCATCATGCTCACCCCTTGCTGTGCTGGTGAGGAGAAAGAGCTGGTGGCTCTTTCTGCCACCAGAGGTGTCAGCCTGTGCTGGGGGCAGGAACAGGCAGAGGTGGCTGGTGTCTCTGGAGCCATGGTCACCTCTGCCACCTGGAGAACTGTGGTCTTGGAGAGCAAAGGGTACAGGAGAAAAACATTCAGGAGCTGCAGGGCAGCAGCTGTAAATCATTGCAGCAAGTTTTTTCCAGTAATGGTGCTGTGCCATAGCAATTCATGGCAGAGCTGTGGGGCTGGGGTTATGCTCAAATACTGTCAGGGAATGGGATTGCTGGGAGAAGAGAGACTGGGATGCACTGGTCACCAGTGCAGCAAAACACAGGACATAGCAGAGGAAAAGGAAGACCCAGGGACATGCTAGGGAGGGCAGGAGGCTGCAAATCATCTCAAACAGGGAATAAACAAATTGCTGTGCAGCACAGTGATTTGTAAAACCTGGAGGTGAGCTTTAACAATAACAGGTTTTATTAGAAGAGATTAGTTTTACCGAATTTATAGGAAATCTTGGGAGCAAGAGTGGAGGAGAGGACCCTGCTGGATCTGTGTGCATAGCTCAGCAGTGGCTGGTGCCAGGGGCTGTGTGTGGGACTGTGCCCCCAGCACAGTGTGGCAGTCCCCCAGGGTCCTGACTGTGTTTGTGCATGGAGGAGGCAGCTGGACACGGTTTTCTTTGCTCTCTGATCCCAGAGAGTGTGACTGGAGTGGGGGGAGCTGGGGGTCCCCACCCCAGAGTGTTGGGGGTGACTTGGTGGAGGACAGTTCTGGTGGCAAAATCCCGGGGCTTGTGCAGGGGCTGAGCTTAATATGCAAGTCACTGCTGGGGAACTGGCGTCATGAAAATGCCATTTCCACACAGTCCCAGCCTTTATCCTGCCTCAGACAAAAGCAATTTACTCAGCCTCCAATAAAGCAAGGGTGATAATGAAGCTGAGAGGAGCTGACTGACAGGCAGGACAGCCTCTCCTGCCACCAGCACCCACCTGCTGGCTGTGCCTGTGGGGAAAACCTCTGGACAGCACTGTGAATCACAGATTCTGGGTGGGGGTGTCTCGGTGCAGTCAGAGCCCTGGCTGGGTGATGTCGCTGGGCACTGGGCAGTGATGGGATAATGCTGCCCTTGAATCCCATGCCTGTCCTGCAGGATGGCAAGCCTTGGTGTGAGCAGAATGGGTCCTTGGAGTCGCCACCACAGCACAGCCGAGCAGAGCGAGACTGGATGCAGCATCTGCACCTAATGGATGAGTTTTGTCAAGTGCTACAACAACCCAGGAAACTGCACCAGCCCCAAGGGCTCTTGGAAACCAAAGACAGTATTTCACCTCCCTGCCTGCCCTGTCAGAGCAGCTCTGAAGGCTCCTTTGTATAGAACCCAACCAGCGTTAAGCAATGAACAGATATTAAAAAAGAGTAAAGCTGACCTGCAGCCATGTCCTGCTGCATAAAAAGACACTGACCTGTGTTTTCCCTGGAGAAGCAAACAGGAGGAAAACATGAATAAAACCAGGGACACAAGGGGAAGTAACTTCAGCTGAGGGATGTGGCAGCAGAGACAGTGCCCTTGGGCCCACCAACAGAGACTTGTTTTGAATGTTCACCCAGGATCCCAAAAGTGATGCACAAAGCCTGCTCCATGTAACAATCTATTTATTGCTTCGGGTTTTGTATTTCTGAGCTTGCTTCCAAATTTAGTCAAGATCTTTTGCTTCACTTGCATAGATCTTCCCCAAGTGTCAGGAGGCAGCCTGCTGCCAGGAGCTGCTTGGGTGAAGCTGAGGGATCTGGGAGCAGCTGAGCAAAGCAGTGCCTGTGGACAATCTCTGCAGCAAGAGCCTGGGGATGTGGGAGCTAGAGATCAGGGGAGAGTGAGCTGACCCCAAAGAGGAGTCCTCCTCTGCTCACTGTACCATGCTGTCCCTACTTTGACAAACCACGGCACTGCTGGGGTGCCACGGTGCTTGCTGGCACTGCTATGGACAAACAGAGGCTGTACTGGGGCACAGGCAGGTGCTTCATCCAACTCTCCTTGGGGTAGGGGTTAGAAATGGCCTGAGAACTGTGATCTGGGAATGGGAGAAGTTGTAAATCCCTCCCAGGTGTGAATCGGGGCTGGCTGATTCTCCACAGAACCTCACAGAGAGCAAGATAGAGAACAGAGCACGTTTGGCCACATCCATCTGGTCTCAGCAAACTGCAGCTGTGAGGAGCAGCCCTGATGCCTCTGAGAGGACACACTGTTCTTGATAGTCAGAGAGGTGAGGAATTTATTGGAAATGCACTTTAACTTCTGAGATTAACTGCTTTTAAAGAGAACAGGTTTATAGTGCACTCCCAAACAAGATTCTCTTCCTGGGAAGGTTAAAAGCCAGAAAAAGCTTTTGCTTTGGGTTGTCAGTCACTGTCCAGCTGAGCATGGGAGGGATCATCACAGTTGTGAAGAGATCAGAGAGGTGGGGGGGGTGCTAAAGGGGCACCCCTGCAAGGATCAAGGAAGTAATTTCTGGAAGATGACTCTCTTCATACTGAAGAATTTGGAAGATATGTGCCATTTTTCTCTGCATAGGGTGCTGGCCAGGCACAAGTCAGGAGGAGTCGGGGTCATGTACCCACCTCATTCTCAAACACTCCTTCAAGAAAATAAACCCTCTGCCACAGGGACAGTGTCTCAACCAGGGCCCCAGCCTGGGCAGCCCTTTCTCTGCCCCTGAACCATTTGGGTCCTGAGTGACGGTGTTTTCCCAGGTGAGCTCTATCCTGGTGGTTCCTGTTTCCCATCCCAGCTGCAGTGTAGGTCTGTCAGGAAGGAGATGCCTCCTGTGTGCTGCTGCTGGGAGCCGTGCCCTCCTGCTGCTGCAGCCTCTGGAGCAGGAGCAGCACGTTGTCCGTGAGCTCGTTCCGTGGCCGCCCCATCCCGCTGAGCTTCACCGGCCGCAGGCTGGCGTGGGGGGGCTCGTACCCCTCGGGGCAGCACACCTCACTCAGGAGCAGCCAGGTGCTGTCAGGGTCCACGTGCATCAGGTGCAGGAAAACACTTGGGAAAACAGCAGGAAGAGAGGAAAGAAGAGTAAGGACAAGGCCTCATGGCTGGCACCCAATGGGGTTATTAAGAGCTAAGGAAAGCTTTCATGCTGTTGGCAACCTCTGGCAGCTGCACAAATTCTGCTCTTTACAGAGGGCAGCACAGTGGCCTCTGTGCCTCACAGCTACTGGCATGTGGGGGAAAAATATTTATGATACCACACAGTCACTTATGGACACCAAACAAGCAGCTGGTGCAGGACTGACCCAGGCTTGGTGCTGGCACTGTGTGAGCTGTTGCTGCACAAGTGTAAACCTGCCTGTCCCAGGTGGTGGGAGGTGACTGTGGGTGACTGCATGTGCTATGCATATCTGGGATCTTTTGGACAACAGCTCCTGCAGAGATCTTGGAAGAAGTTGTCTGTGTTATTCACCACCCTCTCTGGTTTTCAGGAGGCTGGGCTTCTCTGTTTTTCCAGAGGTGGCAAACCCAGGAGTATTTGGAGACAGCTGCCCAGGCTGAGCAACCCAGGGAGGCTCAATGCTGTATTTGAGGGCTTTTTGCTTAAGTGAGATCTCCCACCATCCCAAGTCCTTATTAGCTGCCTCCAAATTTTTGTAGTTCTGCACAACACCTTTCACAAAGCAGGATTTTAAACCAAATCCAAATAGAACCGTCATTAACAAAAGAATGAAGGAAAAGAGGAATCACAACTTCCTCTGCAGATTTACTGCTGTGTTGACGATTTTCATTTTGCATTTCCATACCTCAGTAAGATGGGATTTGCCTTTCCAGCATGCCCTTCACACAGGGCTCCAGCTGTGAGCTGCTGGGACACAGCTGCTGCTGAAGAGCAGGAAGCTCAAGGAGTGAAAGAGCAAATGCCCATTTGTGTGACCTACACTTACCCACCCCCTCCTGCCAGTTCTCCCTGCAGCAACCTTTGGGCTTAGCTAGGTCTCTGTCAGGGTTTAATGCACAGGTGTATTAGGCTTAACAGGTATTAAACTCTCTGGCTGTGCCATGAACAAAATTAGACTGGAATTTGCAAGGCCTCTTCCTGAATGGTGCCGAGTGCTCTGTGAGCACCAAAGGCACTAAGCACTTGCCACACCTATGGTATGCTTTTCCAAGATCCCAGTAAAGCCCAGCCATGTATCTTCAGGTCTCTAGTTTTCAGTGAAATCACGGAGCTGTGAGAAGAACAGCAGCCAGGTCAGGTAATGGGAAGAGAAATCAAGTAGGTCTGTCTCTGCTCCCCCAAGAAGCACAGGACTGAACTCTCTCTCTACAAGCAAAGATCACTTGCTACAAAAGCCACACAAAATCCAGATCTGATTGCTGTCCAAATTTCTCCTGGAAGAGCTTTCATCCCTAAAGTGAGGTTGCTTCCAATATAAAGCAGGGAGAAATCCCTTTGAGCAGCTTTCCTCTGAAAAGGGAGTGCAGTGCTATGGGTAAAGTGGAAGAGCACAGAAATGAGATGAAGGTAGGAGAGAGTTCCCTCTCCTCTTCACAATAACCCTGTGCGTGTGACTCGTTACTCATGCACAGCCAAAGCTGTTGCTTTTGCCTCTCTGCCACTAACACCTCACCTGTCCCCCAGTGCAGGTCTCTAAACAGCAAGAGGGGAGATGTCACCACTGAAGCTGTTGGCAGTGTCCCCTCCCAGAGGTGCTGGCAGTGCCTATCTGCCTGCTCCAGAGAAACCAGTGGGAATGTGCTCCACAGTGATAGCTGGGCTTGGCAACAGCTGCCTCAGCAACACGACCTTTTTTCTGTGGATTGGCCAGATGCAGGTGAGCTCACAGGACTCCTCATTCCCCTGGCTTTGTTCCTGCAGCTCTGCTGCAGGAAGGGGAGGACTGACCCACTCAGTGCCAGCCCAAGTGAGGGGCTGGCAGGGGCAGGGTGTGGAGCTCTCACTGCTGCCATTGTGGCTCCAGCTCTCCAGACACTGCCCTGCCCGTGCCCTCAGCTTGGCTGTGACAGCAGGAGCACACAGCTCTGTGTGCCAGCAAACACCAGCTCCCAGTGGTTCCACCCAGTTTTCAATGGGCAGCTGCAGAGATAATCCTCGCTCCTTATGGCTGGGATGGGAGCAGGCAAGGACAAGGAATTGCTGTGAACACGGGAAGAGGGGATATTGTGCAGCAGGCTGCTGATCCCCAGCACACACACAGCTATAGCTCTTACACTCACAGCACAGACACTCTGCTCTCCAACCTCTTCCCAATCAGTGCTCCAGGGAGAGCGACCCTCGGAGATTATCCAGACCCTGCAGAACTCGCTGCCTCTGGTGCCCATAATGGTTAGAGGCTGTGATTATCCCTGATAGCCAGGAATGCTCTGCAGCTTAAAGAACAACTTGACTTTTACATTTTCAAACTAACTCTGGGGTAGTTTCCAAGCAACCTGTTTCCATAGCAAAGAATCCTGGGGTTAATCCAAGTTTGTTTTCTGTTGTTGCCTTTTTCTTTTTCTTTTTTTTTCTTAAATATCACTTTATTGAATTTTGCCTTGAGCAAGTGGCTGTTCTGGCATGCTTCAATCCAGGCTGAGAGTGACAGCTGACAATGAATACCCAACAAACCACACAAGCAAACTAGAAGAGGTAAGCTGCATAATCAACCTTGGTATGAAAAAAGCTCCCCAAATAGCTCATATTTGTCCCAAGTATGCTAAACTTATTCTACTAGCAAAGAGCAATTTGGCTATGCTGTTGCCTTGTCTTTTCCCAAACTCCAAGCAAAGCCATGGCACAGGCAGCAGACTGGCAGAAGGACAAGGCTTCCTGGCTTTCCATCCCTGCTGAATGCTTAACTGGATGCAGCCCACCACAGGCTTTGGTAAGAACTGAGGAAATTATTTCTGCATTTTAGTTAGGGGAAAAAAAAAAGCATTCCTATCCAGACTGCTGACTGAAAGATCATGAGATCATAATTCCTACATTTAGTAGGAATTAAGTGTAAATTTCGAAACAGTCACTTGTAACTGAAAGAATGGAAAACTACTTGTCAGTTTTGACAGGGGCCAGTGACAATTTCCTAATCTCTTTTCCTTCAAGGTTTTATTCCCTGAAGTGAAAAGCTTGTCAGGGATGATGCAACTTCATAAATTGACGAGAAGCTCAGATTTACAAATTGTGACTTTCAGTTCCCACCATCTCCCCTGGCCATGTTCCCAGAGGTGGGACCCCACATGATCCCCTCTTGCTCAAGTCTTTCTGGGCACTTCCCCTCCCTTGCACGGGCTCATCTTCTTCAATGATGGCAAAGACTTTTCTAGTGCTCCTTGCATTCCCAGACTCTTCTTCAGTAGGTTTGGTCCCTTTGGTGATTTTGCATTTGGTTTTTGTTTGTTGTTCGGTTTTTTAAAAAGCTTTGGATAATGCTCTCCTGGAATACTCCCAGCAGCCCTCTTCTAGTAAAACCTATTGTTATTGTCCCGTTTTCTCTTCCTCAGATGTGCTGGAGTTCTTTTTTCCACAGCATCTATTTTTGCCTGTTGAGTATTGCATGAAGCTGCAGTTACAAAAATCACTTACTCCCACTGCTTCATCTAATAAAACTACAGGGTCCCATAAATGGGATTAAGCAGACTCCTTGGGGCATGATAACACCCCTGGATGACAGCCAAACTCCCTTTTTCCTTTTTCTTTTTTTTTTTTGTGTGGCTCAAGCACCTTGGCCAAAACTTCCTGCTCAGCTCTTGGCATGCCTGCAGAATCCTCATGTAGTCAGTGTATGATTTTTGGAGCTACGACTGACTTTGCAAGTCCTGACCTTGCTTTTGACAGGTCACAACCCATCAGTTGAATGAGAACCCTAAGAGCTGAGCAAAGGCCAGTTAGTATAAATCACCATGGCAAGCTGATTCCAAACATCCTTTTACCTCATATGATTTCTGCAGTGATAAAGCTGAGTTATGTGACGTATGCTGGCGCTCAGGCTGGGGCTAAGATTAGTTCTGGTCTATCTGTTTTTAGAAGCATTTAAAATGCAGAATTTCTCATGTATCAGGCTGATAACACTGCCCTTGCTTAGATGGAAAGGCCCTTATGTGTGACAGCCTGTGTCAGTTTGCAGGATTACTTTCAGGCACATGGAGAGCAAGAAGAGCCAGAACTTACAGGAATGTGGTGGTTCAGCAGCTGGAGAACAGAAATAGAAGGGTGGCTGAGAAATGATTATCATCCTGATACAGGAGCTGATTGTTATGGTCCAAACTAATTTTGACTTTTCCAGGCTGAAACCTCATATCAGGGAAATACAGTTAAAAGTGAGTGTGATACGATGAATTCTGATCCATCCAGCTCCAAGACCAGGGATCACACAGGGCTAAACTGAAAAAATTAAACCCAAAAGAAACCTGCAAATGCTGCCATGTCTGTAGTGTCAGGCCAGGCATGATGCACACCTCAGTGCATATGTGTGTCTGGTCAATGGAGTTAAACAGGAGACAGCATGGACTTCTGTGATCAGCCTGGTTCACATATGTGATCTATGGTGCATCAAAAGCATGGGGGGAGGAACAAAACATATGGCATTTTCCCCATAAAATATAATAAAAGCTACATATAGGAGAAAAATGTTACTTGCCCTTGCTGCCCTTTTGCTCTAACAAGTGAGCTCACTTTAGCATACAGCTTCCAACAGGGCTCATTTCATAGTCCCCCTACCCCTGCTGTTGGGGGGAAATTGCACAGCTTCTCAAGCTGCTTGGTTAATGATTTAAAAGCTTCAGATTCCAAATATCTAGATAAATCCTGGTGTTCCGCTTTTCATCCAGCATTGCTTGCAGAGACTGAGGCATTATTGCATTAAGGGGATGCACTCCCACAGCATAGAGCCCCTCTGCAGAACAAATGCTGCTGGAAGCCTGCTGTGCTGCCGTGAAAGCCTCCAAGGTAAAAATAAACCTGCTCCCATCCGCCGCAGAGATACAAACAAAGGAATGCTCCAGCTCCGGAGAGCGCTGGCTCTGAACTGCTGCCCAGCCACACAAAGCCCTTCACACCCTGCACCCCCGGGAGCCTGTGCTTTGTGAAAGGGAACGGATGGGCTGCACTTCCCTTTCCAGCAGCTTGCCCTGGAAATCCGAAACCGCAGAGCCTGCGGAACCTCTGCTGGTTTCCCCTCCCCTCGGGGGAGGGCAGGGCTGGCCACACAGGAAGGGGGGGCTTGACTGGTTTTCACCCCCATCCTTCGCAGAGGGGCTTCCTGATTTATGTCCCATGTTCTGTACCTGGACTCGTTTTCTTTCCTGAAATTTCCGGCCTTGGTTCCAGGTGACAACATATGACAACAGTGATTTCTTATCCTGACAGCAGAACATACTGAGCAGGATTTTGTACACCAAGCAGCAAAGTATGTCTGTCAACACTTCCTAGAGCTGGAGTGTGTTCACCTAAACTGTCTTTGCTCTTTTAGAATCTCCCAGCCTTCTCACAGCAACACTGGTGCCAAGACTGACAGCTTCCCAAACAAACTCTGGTCCACCTGGCAGAGCCTGGGTTGGAGCCCAGGGAAAATGGAAGGATAACAGAAGTAGATTCCCCCAGCCTCCAGAAGGTATTAAGTGATAAAATACAAGGGAATGCCTGGCACATCCTCTTCCATAGCTGTCTTCCCTCTGCAGTTTGATGCCACCAGTGGGCCAAAAGCCTCAAGTATTTGGTGAGGAAAAAGCAAGTAGCACATTTTGCCCTCTATCCCCAAATGCACTGCAAGGTCACCTGTAATGTCTGTGCAAGCTGACAGCTGACCTCTCTAACTCATTTTGGGGAGTGATACTTCACCACGGAAAACTTCCATGAGTTCACACCCTTTTGTACAGGACTTGAATGTGCCGGAAGGTGGAACAAGAAAGGTGCAAAAGGAATGGGATCACCATGCTTCCTCTGTCCCTCACTGTTTGTACACCCAACACACCTGCATTTAAGAGACATTACCTCTGGGCAGCTTCTTGCAGTTTCACAGGTTGCTTGGCACTGAGGTAAATCAGGCAGGCATCTGCCACTTTATTCAGGTCACTCTCGCCTGCAGAAATGGAACAGGAAAGAAGGGTAGGAGGTGACCTCCTCAGCAGCTGCTGCCTAATGGAATCAGCTCCAAACAGGCAGCAGAGGCTTCAGAGCCTTTGAGCTGTCTGACCTGGAGCTCTTGTGACCTTGCCTTTTAAGCATCTTGCTGCAAAGTCAGGAAAGCAATCAAGGGCACTGAGAGGAAAAGAGCAACTAGCCAGCAAACCTTCTCCCTCATCAAAGCCAGTTCCAGAAATTTCACTTGGGGAGAATTTCAGTTTCATTCAATAGAAGAGTGTGATGTGCTGGATTTAAAGGGTCACCCAGAGCTAAGCCCACAATGGAACCAGTCAAGCTAGACAGAAGTCTTATATGGGCTCTAGTTTGTCCAGTAAGAACAAAGTGTGGCCCAACAGCAATGCAGGGACTCTGTTCTGTACCCTCTTCTCAACCACAAGCAGGATGAGCAGTCACATTTTGCATGTGGTGGGAACCTTCTCTCCCACTTGTCTCCTCAGGAGAAAAGAGTGCCCAGCACCTCTTTACAGAGCTCCCAAAGAGAACAGATTCAGGCTAGAGAAGATCAGGAGATCAATTCCATGGGCAGCAGGAGGAGAAGCAGCAAGTTGAGAGGAGACTAAGTAAAGTCTGGCAGAGGTCCATACAGCCTGTGCTTCCCCTGGTACTCACCCATATCCAGCTCCTCACAGAGAGAGCCCAGGCCCTGCAGCACAGCCAGCTGCAGCTTGAAGGCCAGCGTGTGGCTGTACACAGGCCCAGCTCTGGCACTCACTGGGGCCTGGCTGAGGAGGGAACTGGTCAGCTTAGGCAGGACATCTTTGGAGAACCTCTGCCTCAGGAAGTCCCCACATGTTTGAGCCAGGGTACACAGCACCTAAGAGAGACATGAGTTACAGGGGATAGTGCACACACTGGCCTGGGAGGAGCTCAGTGATCCACACCAGCCTGGGGGATTCAGACATTCACTCTCCTGGAGAATTGTTTTTGCAGGTGAGAGCACTGTGACCACACCTGCCCCAGCTTCCCCATAATGAGCAGAGGGTGAATGTTTGAGAGGCTGAGTGAGCTGCATCCTGCTCTGCAGTGTCACCTGGCTGACCTCCTGGACTGCCCTTCCCTCATTAGCACAGTAAAGGTAAGAGTAGCTGTGCATTCTTACTCAGAATTAGTGGAGGAGCCTCTGATGGAAAATGCCATTAAATATGATTATATCCTTAAATCTCTTTTGTGGTGCAGACAACCCATCTTTCCAAGCATGTCAGCAAGCAGAAAGGCCAAGTGGCCACAGAAAAGGGCACCTAGCACTACTGGTGTCTGCCCAGGATCAAACTCAAACTGGACAGTGAATGGCCCTAAATGCATGTAAAAACAAAGAGGGATCCAAGTGGCCAGAACACCGATCTTTCTTTTGGAACTTCACCGAGCTCATGGTCTCAGTGTGCAGGACTGAGATGCTGGTTATTTTGTGTAAGCTTTACACTGATATGACACTTCTTGTCCTGGAATTTAAGCAGGAAGACACTTTGAGAGGAATTCATACAGTAAAACCCAAGCTGGGTGCAAATTGTAATGATGACTTGGAACTTTTCAAGAGTTAATTAGTTTTTTACAGCAATCTCTATCTCCTTTTAGGGCAGGCACATGACAGATATGGCTATTCTGAGACTGTAGTGCATGGCTTCTGGAATTTCAGGAATCAAAACTCTCTTTATTCACACAGAAGGATTCTAAAATGAATCTCACTCTGCCCAGCAGATGGATTCCTCTGCAATGCTGGGGCTGGCAACCTCTGGAAACATGCTTTACTGGCCAGCCTGTGAGTCAGGAGGAGAAAGGAGCCAGCTGACAAGGTCAGGAGCTCTTTAATAATATCATTATAGGGCCAAGTCTTTGTTCAACCTCTCCCTTCCCTTGCCAATGTCTCAGTCGTGGAATGTTCCCCTATTTTCAATCTGACATCTCCAAAGAGGATGCTGGGACTGTGTCTCCAGCAAGGCCAAGCTGCACTGTATGATGCCCCTAACATCTGCTGAGGCTGTAGAGCTGTTTTTTCATGCCTGCAATAACCACCAACATTGCTGCTTCCCCCAGGAACAGCATCAAGGCTTTACCGGTGGATGAGCTGCAGTGAGAATGGTACAAACCCACCCACAGCAGAGCAGGGTGACCCTGTGCTCCAAACCACATTTAAACATTGCTGCAGGATCTTGGTGCTCTCTCCTGAGCTGCAGCACTCCCTGAGCCACTTCCTGCCCAAGCTCCAGCTGGCAGCCACTGCCATACCTTGAAGGCTCTGAGCACTGCCAGAGGGTCATCGCTAATCAGCCGGGTGACGAGAGCTGGCCAGACACGGTGAGCCATGGGAAGCAGATGGTTTCCATGAGGATGCAGCATGGTTACACAGAGCTCCAGCACGTCCAGGACCTGGGCAGGAGGGGAGGGAACAGACTCTGAGTGCTGCAGTGCCAGGCATTCAGGTGGATCCCAGCATCACAGTAGGAAGCCAGGAGGAGGGGTTGAACAGCAAAGGGTGCGGTTTTACCGCAGCAGGAACGGGGACAAGTGAACGGTGCTAGGAATCAGGCCTGCTTGGAAAGGGACAAGCACTGCAGTGACACAACCTGTGCTGGGCACAGAGTTGGGCTGGGAGCAGGGCAGGATTCCTGTCCTGATCCCACAGGCTGAGCTGCACCCCTGGACCCCATTGCGGCTGTGGCACCAGGATCACCTGGCAGAGCTGAGGCTGCTGGGATGAGAATCTGGGTTATGCCTCATTTTCTGTCTCACTTTGCACTTTAAAAAGAGGCCACCTTCAAAGGGTTTTCATAATTAGAAAAAAGCCAGGCTTTTAGCCCTGCTTATCATCACCCCAGCTACTTCAAAAACATTCATCAGCTTGTGCACTGCAGCCTGAGGAGGGGGGATGGGAAGCACAGATGGGAGAAAGATGCTTCTGTTTCCTCCACCAAAGGACAAAGCACAAGACTTAACTGTCATGAGCATCAAGGGGAAGTGTCCAATACAAAGCCATCCTTAAGATTCTGTTCTGCCTGGCTGCCATTCCTAATCCAGAGCACTCCCAAAAAATTATCTCCCTTTCTCTTGCCAGGTTTGGAGGATCTGTCCTGCTCAAGCATATGGCAGCACAAACCTGGGGATGGCAGGGAGCCCAACGTGCATGGCACACATGCTGACGAGCTACCAACCCCTTCATGGGCACCATCTGTCCCCTCAGAGCTGGCAATTACCGACCTTCAGCCGCACTCGGAGGTTCCCATCAGACAGCAAGTGGATGCACCTCTCCATCACATCCCTGGCCAGCTGAGCATGGCTTGGCATTGGAGCTTCTCCTGTGTCACAGCTGGGCTCTGGCTTAGCAAGGGGAACCTCATCTGGAAGACAAAACCATTACTGAAGTCATGAAAATGACTTGGGAGCTCTGGGAGATCACAGTCACAGATCACCCACCCATGACGACTCTGCAAATTCCTGATTAAGGCTTTTGGCATATTTTAATGTGCTTACATATAGTTAAGCCTATGAGTTCTGTGAGTTAGTGTCAGGTTCAGTTACAAGTGTGGGGCTAGGGAACGTTCGCTTTCTTTACGGGACAATGCAGCTGGTCTGACATTTGCAGTCTCTTCTCACCGTGGACTTATTTCCCATTGATTTTTATTAAAAATGAAAAGCCTGGATATTTAAAGATGAAGTATTTAAAGGTCAGGATTGCAGCACAGCCCAGTGAAGACTAAAAAGTTTCCTATATGAATGTCTGCAGTGCCTGACAAGGCCAAGTGAGAAGGGAGCAGTGGCATCATTAGCCAGGAGAAAACAGTACAGAGATTCCTAAAGGAATACGAGGAAAATGCGTCGGAAAGTTCCTGGAAAGGGGGAACTTCAGGTCCTGAACCCAAATGAACTGTTACAAGGTAAGAAAAAACACAGTGTGCTTGTGTCTCAGAGCTAGAGAAGCCTTTATCTAAAACATTTAGCTCCCCCACTCAAAGAGAACAAAGTGAGAAGACCCAACAGCACTTTACATGAACCAAGGTCAGCCCAGAGAAGACCTGAGACAGCCTGGTCCCAAGGCCCCCATGTGACAAAAGGACACCTCAGAGGTCACAGTCTCTCTGCAAGCTGACCATGCTCCTCTCCAGCCACGCACAGCACTGACCTGCCTCCTCCTCCTCCAGGTCAGGAAGATCCCCCTCTGCGATCTGCTTCTGGCTGACATAGTCAAGGAAGAATCGTTCCACTTCTTGACTTGTCATTGTCACCTCCTGTTGTCCCTGGGACCGAGCCCTGCTCTGCCCTTTGTCAGTCTGCCTTTGCTGGTGCTCCTGAGCGCTGGGCATTCCAAACCACTGCACTGCAAAAAAGGAACTGACATGTCACTGGGCAACCACGATCCCCTCCTGCAAGTCAGCAAGGTGCCATGGATTCCATGAGAGATGAGATGGTTCTCACACCTCATGGGATTGCACCCGATTCAGGCACCTGGTGTCACATCCCAGTCACCTCCCTGACATTACAAGAAAGTTAAAAAGGAATACGTGCCATGTGCTCCTACAGAATATTCATGGGAGCAGTGAATCCATCCTTTCTCAGCCACTAAAGGCTGTGTTCCTGTGAAAGGCTGCAGGCCAGGCAAACTGGAGAGGGAAAGTTACTGGTCACCTTTGCTTGAGCACTGCCCCAGTAATCAAAGCACAGTGGCCATCACACTGCAACACCTTGGCTACCTGGAACCTCCCATGGCAAGTGGAAAGGTTCTTGACAAGTACCCTCAGTGACAGCAAGGCTGAATTACACAAAGTGAACATCATTTTGGTACCTAGAGCAGTCATGACTGAGTGGAGGACCCTGAGGAAAGTGGAAGCCTGGCTATTGTAGGTCTGATCTAGTGTAGACAGGACATCTTGGATTACATCTTCTACCAGTGGCAGCAAGTTGGCATCTGAGTGCCTCAGCATTGTGTCCAGGACCTGGGACGCACGTGGCTGATACGCCAGCTGGCGCAAATTCAGGGAAATCCCGTTCACCAGATAGTCAGAGTTCTCATTAATCAAACTCCGCACTGAGTCGTAACCACAGGCCTCACATATGTCTGCCAGTGTCCCCAGTGCTGTCTCGCTGATGAGCAGAGTCCTGTCACCAGCCTTTTCCAGCACAGGGTAGAGAGCTGACAGCAGCAGCAGCCGGAACTCCTTCCCAAGGACAGCAGCAAAGCAGCCAACGCCCTCCAGCTGGATGCAGATCTGCCAGATGTTGCTGTTCATGGTGCGTGTTGTGACTGGTGGCTCTGGGGACAGATGGAGAACGCTGCTGGATGTCCCTCTCGCACGCACAGCGAGTCCCAGGTGCTGCACTGACTGCTCAGGGCTGCTTTCCTCTGTGTCAATGCTAGTGACCAAATACCAGTTCGCCTGGTCCATGTACTCATCCAGAATGGATGTTATGGACCCTTTGAGATCATCCACGCTCAGTGGAGCTTCCCTTTCCTGCAGGAAATCCACTCCCACTCCAGCAGCTCCCGTGACCAGCTCGTTGAGGATCATGGCTGCCTGCTTTCGGTACAGGCTGGACTCGCTGTACAGCCCCATGAAGTGATCCACAAGCAAGTAGAGGTTCCCATAGTAGCCAAGAACACGACACACTTGCTGAAGGAGCTGGAAAACCTTCTCCTCCGTGAAGAAGCGGAAATATTTCTTCTGGCACCTGCTCTTCTGCACACCCTGCTGCAAAGGGCCCGGCGGCCCAGAGCGCCGGGCCTCCACTATCTTCACATCCGTCACGTCCAGCTCCAGAACCTGCAGCAGTGCCTTGGACAGGCGCTGCAGGTGGGACACAGAGTTGAGGACAATATTAACCTTGGAGCCCAGCAGCTTCAGGTAGCCAAGCAATAAGCTCAGTGTGGAAACCTTGCCCATGTCATCCTGAGAGTTCATCAAGCGGGGAAGGGCTGTGGCAAGGGAATGGAGGTTCTCAGAGAGGACATCAGCAAGAGCCCTGTTCTGTGCCACAATCCTCTGCTCTCCAATCCCTTGCAGAACTTCGTTACACCTGCTCTGGACTTCGCTGTTTTCATCATTAACCAGCCCAACCAAGGCCTTTAAGAGGTGACTGAACGAGTCCACCAGTGACTGATTGCAGTTCGTCAGTAAGTGGTGGACCAGCTCCACCAGCTCCAGTCTCACTTTCCAGTGGGGGTGAACTGAAGAAGATTCAACTACCTTATGCAAAAGAAGAGAGAGTTTTTCAGCAGTACTTTTAGTCCAGTCAGGTCCTCTGTGGATCATTAGCTCTGATAATCTGCTGTGTTCCACTGGCAGCTTTTCCTTACTCTTTGGGATTCTGGCTAGCTGTTTGTCAGCCATTACCAAGCCAACAATCAGATAAAAGAGTCTGATGGCAGAAACGGTGGTTTTGTGACCTTGTTTGATGTCTCCAGCAATAACTCGAGACAGTGTAATGGAAATCCCAGGCAGAAAAGAAGCAAACAAATCCCCACATTTCTGTGCCTCGTCTTCATCCAGGCGTTGGTGCTCCTGGCAGTCACACTGCAGAACCAGGACCTGCAAGCACTCTAAAGCAGAGATCTTGATTTGCTTTGCTTTTTCTTGCTCTGCAAGAGTCAGAAGCAAAGACACAGCAAATCCTAAGAGCGGAAGGGTGGAAGGTTGGTACAGAGACAAGATAATATCCCCGTAAGCCGAATGCATCAGGGTGTGGAGTGCCTGGATCACAGCCAGCTTCAGCTCCTCGGACAGCGGGGCAGCTTTGCCCGAGCTGGGAGGGGGAGCGAGGCAGGTACAGAGCTCAGAGAAGAGCTCCTGCAGCAGCTCCTGCTTCTTCACGCACGTCGCCGCAAGCACGGAGGAGATGCACTGCACCAGGCTCTGCACCAGCCGCTCCTGCTTGGGCCCCGGCACCCGCAGGGCGAAGCGCAGCGGGAACAGCACGTACTCCTGCAGCTCCTGCAGGGCCGCGCCGCTCACCCCGGCCAGGTGCGCCTGCAGCTGCTCCACGTTCTCCACCGTCTGCGCCCGCGTCAGCTGCACGCAGACGGGGCGCAGCGCCCCGAACGCCGCCTGCGGGGTGTCGAACACGGCCATGCCGCGGGACCGGGGCCGCGGGCGCTGCCCGGTGCCGGGGGTCCCACCCGGGCCGCGCAGCCCTGAGGGTGCCGGAAGTGACGCCTCGCTACCGGCGCCACAAAGCTCCCTCCAAGCGAGGCGGGCGCTGTGAGAAAAGTCTCGCGTACCCGCTACGCGCGTGCGCCGGCGGCGTGCCGCTGAGGTAACGGGGCTGGCAGCGCCACAAAGCTCCCGCGGGCCCGGGCGGGCGCTGTCAGATAAATCGCGAGTGCTCGCAGCGCGCAGGCGCCGAGCATGGTCGCGCATGCGCCGAGCCCGCCCGCCGCGCGGCCCGGCTCCCTCCGGCGCTCCGTACGATGCCGCCCCTCGCCCCGCGGCGGGGTCAGGGCGCGGGCGGCCATCTTGTGGCGGCGGCCCCGGCGGGTTGTTGTCGGTGAGGCCGCGCCGCGCCCCCCCCGCGGGCGGAGCAGCCCCGGCCCCATGTCCTCCTTCTCGGAGTCGGCGCTGGAGAAGAAGCTGTCGGAGCTGAGCAACTCCCAGCAGAGCGTGCAGACGCTCTCGCTGTGGCTCATCCACCACCGCAAGCACGCGGGGCCCATCGTCGCCGTGTGGCACCGGGAGCTCCGCAAAGGTGCGCGGGGGGTTTGCGCGGCGGGGGCCGCCCTGACAGCCCCTGCCCCGAGGTACCGGGGCCGGCCGCGGAGAGGTCGGTGTGCCGGGAGTGTTTACTAAACTCTGCGTGTGAGCGGAGCGCTCCGGCGATACCGGCGGCGGCTTTGGGAAGGCACAGCCAAGCGGGGGCTGAGAGGCACGGGATGCTCAGCTCCTCGGGTGTAAAACAAGAGATGTGCGAATTACGTTCCCCTGACTGTGCTCAGGCAAACTTGGACGTGCTCTGGCTGTTTGGCTCCGTTTTTAAATTTTGGGTTTGGATTCATACAGCTCACCCACTATAGAACTAGTGAGAAGAGATAAGCATAGAAAAAGTAGGAAGTCTGTAAAACTCGCTGGTGCTATCAGCCAGAAACATTTTGTGCGTGTTTTTCTTGCAGATTAGCAAAAGGTAATTTCCCAGATGGCTTCATCCTGAAGTCAAGGGAGACTGCCAGTGCCTAGTGGAAGGTGTTCCTGCCGGGGCAGGAACGAAGTGGATTTTAAGGTCCTTTCCAACCCAGACCATTCTGGGGTTCTGTGTGGATGCTGCCCTGTCCCCAGCTGCAGCCAGTGTCACCATTCCCCTGCGGGCACCAGCACTGTGAGCCCCTTGCAGCAGCTGGGGTATCTTCTAGGTGATTGCTGGTTTTTGCCATTTGTAGTTTATGGATGAGTTTTTGGAAGATCTGCCTTTGCCCTGTTGTGAAAATCAGCACCTTTGTTTTCTGCCTTCTGTGTGCTCGTGGTTGTTTTGCTTGGGGGAACAGTGAATTTCCCTATTTCTAATTTTCCCTAATTCTGGCCATGTTGATATAGTGTGTCAAAATAGGAAAATTTAGGGTATATTGAAGAAATTTGATGTTAGGAACATTGTTTGGAAAATTTTTGAGTCTCCACGATAGCTTTCTCCTACAGTTTCATTCATTCTGAGTTCTGCTGTTTTATTCAAGTATTTTTCCTAAAGTTAATTAATAAAAACAAACCAATTGGTTTATTAATTTGTATTGATATTATTTATGGTTTATTGCTGATGGGTTAGAACAGCTTTTTAAAATTGTGTTTAAAATTTATTGGTTTTTCAGAGTTGGGGTGTCATTGCACAAAAAGTATTAAACTCATGATTTTTTTATGAGTTAATTAGAAAAGAGAAGAAGTGAGGACATTGAGAACTATTTGACTTGAAAGCCCCTGATTTCCTTTAGTAGCATGGAAATGTTTTGAACTTTGGTTTTAGACTGCAACGCTATAAACAACTTGGAAAGCCCTGTTAATGATTCCAGGTGAAAGAAATGAGAACTAAATGCAAACTCTCATTTTGTTTTTTCCTTTTTTATTTTCTTTTTTTTCCTTTCTCAGCAAAGTCGAGTAGGAAACTTACTTTCCTATATTTAGCAAACGATGTCATCCAGAACAGTAAGAGGAAAGGCCCTGAATTTACCAGGGAATTTGAATCTGTTCTCGTGGATGCGTTTTCTCATGTTGCCAGGTATGTTGCTGTACTTCCTCAGCTTTCCTCCCTAAGGATTTGCATTCTTGTTATTCAAAGCTTAATTAATTTGGATTTTGTTGTCTTTTTAAGTCTAGGGGGTGCTTGTACCCTCTCTGTAGTAGAATTTGGATCCTGACTGCTTTGTGGTTGGGGACTGTTTAGTGTAAATGGGTAACTTTGTGTATGGACCAGTCTTTCACAGCTTCACATGTTTGTTCTCTAGGAGCAGCTCCTATGTACTTTATTTCATTGTTACCTAAAGATCTGTCAGATCTGTTTATGGACAGTGGAATTGAGCAGTTGGGTGTGTTTATTAAAGCCACATAATAAATTGTTCTGCCCCATTGTCAAAAGACTTTAAAAGAGCTGATGTTTTGGGTCACTGGGTTCTCACCAGCCTCCTGGGCTGAGCAGTTTCTTTGTGTACTACCTCATCAGTAATATCTTTGCTGGAGGAAGGAAGAATTTCAAAGTTAAAAGGGAAGAAGTGATGCAGCCATCACCTTACTGAAATGCACTATTGTTTAGTTAATATTGTTTCTAAATGACATTATGAGTCCTGTTACCTCAGCTAAACAACATTAATGCTCTGGGTATTTGTCTTTTCTGGAGGGCTGTCTGACACTCTGAGTGCATTTAAGTGCCTAATGATCCAATTAACCTGCTTTTAATTGGTATGTTATTGGCTGAAGCAGCTGTTTAAAGTTAATACTCAGAGTTGTAAACTTGTCAGCTTCTGGGTTTTTTATAAACTCTTATTGCTAATTCTGAATGCTAGCTAGTTTCTTCTTTCACAACTTTTCTGCCCTTACTTTGAGGTGGGAATAGTGAAAGACTTCCAGGCAATCTTTAGGTCAAATAAAGGGGAAAATTTGCCACAAGTGTGTTTTGTACAGTTTGTCTCGGACAATATGAGCAAGATCCTCTCCAAATGTTCACATATTGCAATGGGTGCAGTTGCCAGTTTGGAAGATGCTCTCTGAAAACATAAGGAGTGTTGATCAGCTGAACTGTAATGATTTCCCAATCTTTGAACAGAGAAGCAGACGAGGGTTGCAAGAAACCCTTGGAACGATTGCTGAACATCTGGCAGGAGAGGAGTGTGTATGGCAGCGAGTTCATCCAGCAGCTCAAACTGTCTATGGAAGACTCCAACAGCCCCCAAACAAAAGGTAAATGCATATTGCTTGTTATGTGTTTTGTTCTTAAATTGGTGATGTTTCACTGGAATTATGTGAGGAGTTGAGCTTGGAGTTGAGTTATTGCCAGAGCTGCTTGTGGAGATTCTTCAGGACTGTGTTGAGAAGTCTGATTTTCATTAAACCCTCAGTACTGGTTTGCAGGTGTGCTGTCTTGGGGCTGGCAGTGAGCTTAACCGGGCATGATGTCTGGTGCTGCTTGTGCAGATACAGTGCTCCAGGGCTGCCTTTTGGGGTGAAAGCAAGTCAGTCATGCAGGGAACTCTTGTGTCTACCTCGAGTTAAGTGTTCCACTCTGCATCTCTGAGACTGCTCAGCTGAATTGTTAAGAGTGTCTGATTCAATGCTGTTAGTGCTTTCATTCTCATATTAATTATTTTTTTCCATAGTTACTGTATTTTGTTATGATGCAGCAAGGAGTTTTGAATAATTGAAGTCGGGAATATATGCCCCAGAAGCTTGTCTGGTCTCTTTATTTCTTACACCAGCTGATGTCATTTGGAGTAAACTCTAACTTTGCATATTTTAATATCATTAGAACATCACAGGTATAACCTTATTACTGCATGAGACCTGTGAGAAACTGAGCATGAGCTTGTGTTAGCTGTGCTTTGATTTACTGCTTTGGCACATCTTGCCTCTTCGTAGCACTTGGAGGTGGTTCACTGGTAGTGCCCCAATGGAAAGAGGGGAGCAGTGGGATGCCTCAACTATGGAAGGTGAGGGTCATTAAAAATCAAGAGTGTTCTGGTTAAAGGAATATTTGTCCACCTTAAAGGTGAAGGAAGTGGATGCTTCACTCCTGGAAGTGTTCGAATCCAGGTTGGATGGGCCCCTGAGCAAGCTGGTCTTGTGGCAGGCGTTCCTGCCCATAGCAGGGGAGTTGGAATGACGTGGCCTTTAAGGTCCCTTCTGTTAAGCCATTCTATGATTCTGTGAAGTGTCAGTGTCTTCAAATGAGCTGGAATGACATTGCTGCTCTGGTCTTGTTTTTTTTTATTGCCCACAGAGTTTTGATGGTGTGAGAGAGTTGGTTTGGTCAGTAGTAAAAGTCTCTTAGGCCATTCTTAGGTGGTGAAAACAAGGTCTGATTGAGTCAGCATTTAATGCAGAATTAATATAAAGATGTGAGCATAAATGGGATCTGTATGTGAAGACATCTCTTGCTGTATGAGCTGCTGAATGGGTGCTTTAGCAGCTCACACCAGTGCCCTTCCACCTGCCCCTGATTGAGGTATACCTTTTGGAAGATGACTTTGGCAGTTTTTTCCCCAAATGTTGTGATCCAAAGGGGTGCCCTGACCAAAGGGTTATCCCATCTGTATGGAAACAGAAGAAGTCTGTGCTCTGAGGGGTGAACGTGAACAATCTCTGCATGAACTGGCTCATGTTGGGGTCCCTCTTATCTGGGTGCAGTGAATGCAGTGATAACACCTGTGTGTTATCAAAGGCCAGAATTTACACTCCTGATAACCCTAACCTGATTAACTGAGGATTTGACACTTTAATTTGGTATACCTGGGTGTCACAAATGTTTAACTTTGAATCTATAGACATTGATAATTGATCCCATGTGTTATTTCCTGCTCATTTGGCAACCAGCTGTCACTCAGTGTCCTTTCCCTTTGGCTGATGGTATCAACCACTATTGCTACTTTTGTCTTCTGAACTTAAAAACATTTGTACAAAATCAAACTTGCTAAGAGTAACAGACCTTTGTCTGTGGGAGGCAGAGTGGAGGAATACAAACCCTTCAAGAACTGCTGTGTGCACAGCTTCACTTGGCAACAAT